CTGCCACGGGAGACAAGGTTTTGAAGGGGATATACAAAGGAAAGACATGAAAAAAGAAGGAAAAGTTGGAATCGTGAGATATATGGGAGGGGATCATCCTCAAATCAATCCCCGGAACTTGGCACCATTCTTGTGATAGATGCTGCGTACCGACGCCGGAGGAGTAGTGACTACTGGCGCAATAGGCTGGGTGGCAGCAGGTGCGGTAACAGTGACCATGACAGTGGTTGTGACGACGAGAACGCCGTCGTTGCCAGACTGGGAAGCGGTAGGCTTGGCACCAGGAGGGGCACTGAAGGTTGGGATTGCAACCGCAGACGTAGTTGGAACAGCGGAGCGAGTGCTGTTAGAGAAGGGTGGTCCGCCAGTAGGGATAGAAGGAAGAGCGGTGCCGGTTGCAGAAGGAATGCCACCATCAGAGTCGCCTCCTCCTGAAAGAAGAGAGGTAACAGGGCCCATCTCGCGCTTCAAAGGCATCTCGTTGTAAAGTGCAGTGCGCGCATTCCAGTCGCTGACTGCAGTGCTAACAGCATCCTGCTGACCCATGGCGTATTCGGACATGTCAGAGTAGTCGAGAGCCTGCATTGCGACCTTGGGGGATGCAACGTCGACATCAATACAGGTGCTGTAATACTCATCCTTGCCCTTGTCGAGACCTGGAGTCTTTCCAGGAAGAGAAGTCCACTGCCACACCCAGTACAAAGTGTAGGCCTTGTTAAGCTCGACGTCTTCGGGGAGCTTCACGTCTGTTTCGCAGTACATGACTGAGTTGGCAGGGCCGGTCTCTGGTGTGTTGGCCATGTAGGCGGGGTCGGCTACCTTGCGTTCCATGGCGACGGGGGTCTCGTTGTTCAAGTAGCAGCGGCCATCATCGTAGTCGTTCATGGCTAGCAAAACTCCGCGCTTGTCGCCACCCTGTCCATCCTGGGTCCACTGAAGGACGTCAAAAAGCTTCTCATCCGTCTTTGGCTCTTTTGTGCCATAGACGTAGACGGTGCCGCCTTTTTCTGGCTTTTCGGGGTTGTTTTGTGGAAGTGTGACGTGACCGTTCTCCTGGTAGCGGATGGCGATGAAGCCACCAGGCACAGTCTTGAGGCGTGGGAACTTCTCTGAGGATTGTTGTTGCTGTCGTTGCGTTGGTGCGCAGAGTAGTTGGTCGGCATCGATGAAGACCTTACCCTCAGTGTTGGACTCGGGCATTCGCCAGGTCATAGAGTTGTCTGTATCCTTCCCATCAGGGCCTTTCTGGCCCCTGTCAACCATGCCTCGCGGGTAGCCATAGGCGCCCACGTATTTGCCGCTGTCGTCGATGTTGCGGAGCTGCTCTCCCCAACTGTGGGAGTGGACTAGGGGAAAGGCGGCTAGTGCCGCGACGAAGATTTTCCGTACAGAAGGCATTGTGATATGTGTATGTGTGTGTGTAGATGAAGTTACTCGGTGATTGTGTCTTGAGAAAACAAGAAGATTGTAGAATGAAAAGGTTCTTTGGGAAGAAATGCAAGGGTGATATAAGTGAAGTGGGATTTGGTACGTGATGGAACAATGTGTAAGGTCATGTGCTTTGTAGACGTCTTCACCTCTGGAGCAACACTGTTGCTATTGTTCAATAAAAAACCGTGTCGTGAAGTCCGCACAGCGTGTTCCAGACAGGCAGAGCAAGGAAATAAAAAACAGAAGAAGAAAATAGACAAGAGAAGTGAAGTGAAGATACAACACAGGATGGGTGTGTGAGAAGCGATTAGGGTTCGCGCAACCATGTACCTTTATTGCAGGCGGGCAATGTGGTCAAACATGGTTCAAAATCTCCGACCCAAAGGGACAGAAGTGATCAGAGCCAATGGAGAAGGAGACATGTGAGGGATCGAAACAAGGCGCCACCGCACGCGATGCTGCAGACAACATTCTGTGCCTGCAGCCGAAGATGTTTGGGTCTTGGGACAGCGTTTCAACGCCGACCTCCACTACTATAGCCGCCAGCCATGGGTTTACTGGTCCCACAGCGCACTGGCGGCGTAGCGCGCATACCTGGCAGCGTTGGGCACAGATTTTTATTTTTCTTTGCGGCGCAAGGGCCAGACTCTTGTGGTGAGATGAGTAGTTCGTCTCCAAGCGGCTACACTAGGCGAGCATCCGATACGTTAAGAGGAGTGATTAAGGTATTGGAGGGCAAGGCTAGCCGTTGATCTACAAGACGAAGACGGCAGCTAACCTCTTGTCCAGTTGCCGTGTCGAATTGCGGGTCTGTCCGGGGTCAAGTTGCACTGGGAAATAACCAAGGGCGTGCGAGCCGCCCGCAGCGTCAGAGAGTGCGTTGGGGGAATGAATGGGTGCAGCGGCCAGCACAGTACGACGAGAAGGACAGTGACGCGTAGGTGGCCAGCATGACGATGGGGACTGGGTACACGCAAGTGTACCGGAGCAAGGCTTAGGCGATGCGACGATAGGTGAATGCGAGCCGGATACAGCGCATCGAGAAAGATGGGATTTGGTGGCAGTGGTGGTGGGTGGGGCGAGGTTTGGTAGCAGTGCTCAGGCTGCGTTTCAGGCCGGCTGGCTTGCGGGACTTGATTGGCTCTGCGGCTCACGCTACGCCGCAGCCTAACATGTGGGCGCGCCCGCCTGATTGGCCCGTAGCGTCCCAGCCTGCGATGCGACTATTTTTCTTCTTCTTCTCCTTCGTCGTCGTCTTCTGTATTCTATGCGACCACCTTGACGCCCATCTATTTTCCGAGATTAGCACCCGAGATTCCACGCCCCAAGTATAGGCACTTGGCTACGCTGGCCGCGCGTGGCACCCGCTCGGCATCCCAGGTCACGCGGACCCAAGAAATGAGCAATTCACCCCCCCCCCCCAATCGCCCAAGGCTAGCCACAGGAGCCTACTTCTTATCGATAGCCACTGTTTCACGGATCAGCGTCGGCACTTGGGGCCCAGGCCATCTCCCGCCTGTCAGCAGAACCGGCAGATTACAGGAAGCTGTCTCGAGGCTAACCACGTCGGACCACGTCCGTAGTCTTTATTGTGTAGTGGCAACTCAAACTCGGAACGCTTGAGGACATGTGTTTCAGTGGCCGAAGAGTCGCACTCAATCCTACCAGCACCACTGCCAAACTCAAACCCTCACTTAGGGAAGGCCCGTTAATATAATTTAGCATCCTATGTATACATGGTGTTTCTTAGAGTGATTCAGAAGCAGCAATGGGTATTGCGCTTGCTTTTGCGCATCACTTACTGATATTGCCGTGTACCCACAGGTCGACTTGGAGGCAGTGAAGCCGTGACTTTGCTTTTTTCTTACCCTTCTTCCACCAGTAGTTCGAGTAGTCCGGTTTAGATGCTTCTGGACTACATATGGATGCGCTAACATACTACCTGAAACACTTTAACCCAAACAAAGTCTACACCTACTGAGTCTACATGCACACTACATCACCTTTGGAAAAAAAATACCGCAGCTGAATTTCACACGTGCGCACAAGTTTAGGGGTATGCAGAAATAGCCTGCATAAATTTGTCCAGCTGACTATCCATGTGTTGGACTTTGTCCTGTAGTGAGTTTTACCAGTTGAAGGGGCGACCATCATCTGCTACACCAAGATCTCCCTTGGCAGATTCACTGTGAGGGGCTGCCTTTTGCCCCTCCCAAGTTCCAAGCTATGCGTCCAAGCCACATGTTGCAGGATGAAATGACGTCTGCTCAGTGAGACATTATCGCGGTTTCGATACTGGTACTGATATCAAACCGCGAGATATGTACTATGGTGTTGTTGAGACAGACTGAGTGGAAATAGCACTTGCCATCTCAGCACTTGCCATCTCAGCACTTGCCATCTCCTTAGCATTCGCCATCCTCTTGGCGGCCTGAGATCGCCGGATAAAAATTACCACTATTACGATAGTGTAATTATCTTATAAAGCTAACACTACTTTCTCGTTATGTATTAGGAGTATATGTTTAAATAGACTGCTGCTTCGTATAAATACACAATACTCTTCAGATTTTATAGTAGCCTCCATAGTGATGGAGAATGTGATTTGGATGGATGTTGGTCGTAGTAATTATCCGGTTATTGTAGTTTCCTAAGAGGCCATCTCCCCAGCGCTTTCCAATCCTCCATCTCTCCATCTCCCTAACATAGTGATTTATCAGCAACAGAGAGAAGGGTGGCAGTGAAGTATCGACAATCACAATCACCATAAACAAACAAGTTCTCAACACTACATCTTGCACCCTACACTTCCCCATTCTCGTAACTCACAACTACATCAATTCACCACCTCCTTTTCAATGAGTCCATGAAGAAACAACCGCTTACCCCACGCTCCCCCCTTCATTGACCTGAGTAAAAAAAAATCCATCACACAACTCCCTTCTGTGAACTCCAACAACACCCCTCTCACACCCACAAAACCTTCCCCCATATATATAAAAAATCTCCTGCTAGCCCCCCACAAAAATATGATCCTTACCATACAAACTCACTACTAACCCTTAGAACCACTAACCAAGAACAAAAAAAACCGGAAACAATCAAATCCATCAAGAAAGAAAAGATGGCAGTAGACCTTGGAAACCCCGTAAACTGCATATGCCAGGTCCTCCAAGAAAGCTGGCTCTGTCAATGTACTCGGGAAAGATACATACAAACCTGTGCCAGCGGCGCACAGCACTGGCCGTCTCGATGGGTGTCTTACTACGATCACCAGAGGATGTGTGATCGGTGCTTGGAGCGCATAGAGAGGGTGGCGAGGGAGGCAGAGAGGAGGGGACGGTAGATCGGGGTGTGTGTGTGTGTGTGTGTGTGTGTAAGAGTTGCTCCAAGGCAGTAGTGGTAGATGAGAGGGTCTGGGAAAAGTGGGAGGGGGGATAGTGGAATATATGTATAGTAGGTATTATTACGAAAGACCCGGAGAATCATGGAAGTCAGAGGAGGAAAGTCATACGATTAGATATCTAGCACAAAAGAGAAAAAAAAAAGACGGATTAAACTCTTCATCTTTAATCCTCCATATCCTCATCTTCATCCTCGTCTTCCTCTCCATCCGTCATCTCCTCCTCCTCGCCTTCCTCCCCCTCCTCAATCCCCGCCGTATTCCTAACCTCCGCCAACCCAAACACCTCCTCCGGCAACCCGTCCCACCCAACCTCCCTCTTCACGCAGATAAGCCCAAACTCGCAAACCCCATTGAACCCGCCATCCCGCCTACTCTTGCCAAAAAACCCAACGACAATCTCATCCTCAGCGGGCCTAACCTCAACAACAGCAGCCTGCTCGTCCTCCTCTCCATCCATCACATTGAGTTCCCCTTTACTCTCCCCATTCGACAAATGCACCCGGACCCCATTATCCGGATTCACCTGCACACGCGTAATCTCGACGCCCTCAGGCAGACGAATCTTCTCAGAGGCATGGCCGCCAAACCGATGCGTGGACCCGTACCGCCGCATCGGACCCCAATGCGAGACGTGGCCGTCGGCGTACTTGACCACGCCGCCGTCCCAGAGACATCCGACGCGCAGGTCAATCGATACGGCGCGGTGCAATTTTCCGTCTGCACCGCGTTCGCGCAGGAGCTGCGCCCATTCGTACGGGTTGCGGGGACGGTAGTAGTCGTCCGAGTCAGAAGACGAGTAAGCGAGGTGTTTGCGGAGGATGACGCTCGAGTTGGGGATGCGGATGTAGGATTTGCTGGCGAGGAGCTTCCACACGTTTGATGTGCTGGTTTCGCGGCCGTTGGAGGCGAGGATGCGGAGGTGCAAGGGGGAGGTGCGGGCGAAGCGGTTGTCGAGTTCGGATTCGGTGAAGGTCATGGTTGTGGGGGCGTTGGTGAGCCATTCGTCGGGCTGAGAGTGCTCGGTGTTGTTGAAGGTTATGCGCGCGATGCCGCTGGGGGAGTTGATATGGAGGGTTGCGGGACCACCTTCGTCGTCGTGGGCTACGCTCAGGTCGGGCTTTACTTTTCGAGCGGCTTCGGTGAGGATGGGGTCGGTTGGGAGGCGGAAATGGGGGAGCATGCTGAAGGAGAGTGCGTCTGCTAGGTCCCAGCGTGCGTTGTTGGGTGTATTTTCCGGGTCGACGACTACGCCTTCTTGCTTCAGGTAGCGCGAGTATGCGGTTTGGGAGACAAAGTTCTTGACCCAATCTTGGGCATATCCTCGCTCCATAATACCAGGGCGGTGCGGCGAACCGAATGCATGACCGACTTCGTGCATGTGAGCGCCCTGACCAATTGCACAGGCTTCCCATAGAGTAGTACACTGTCCATTGTCGTTGCCCACCTTTTCTCCAGGTTTGCGGGTGTCGGTCAAACAGCTGGTAACTTCTTCCAGAAAGCGTGGCCAAGAGTAGGTCAAGTGGCTTCCAAACATGCCCAATGATATGCCACGCGGATCATGGCAGCCAAGGGCGGCGTGTCCGAGAATAAGATCTTTGGACATGCTGTAATGAGAGTCCAAGATCAGGCCAGCAACTATGGGCTGAGCATCAGGAACGAACGGACCCCCAGCCTCTATCAACGCCTCCTTGAAATAGTCGAAAACAGCGCCCTTGATACGAGCTCTGTCATTCTGCTGTGCAATATTCTCGTCGCGAATCTCCCTGGTTGTCTTGGAAGAGCGGATGATATGGACCTTGGCTGTAGACCGGATAGCATCGTCCTGTGCGAGAGTTTGGCCCATGCGCGCATTGGTAAACTCCCGACTAACAGTGTCTGCAGTCCATTCCTCCTCCAATCTAAAGGAGCGTCGTCCAACGCCTTTTTTCCTCAAATCTTCGGCAGTCATGGCTTGCCACATGTACGCAGTCATGCGAAGCTTTGCAGTGGCAGCATCCAGATCCGAATGGGTCGAAGATACACCAGCAGCCTTGTTAGGAGGGCAGTCAATGAGACACGGCGAGTCAGAAGCAACCATGATTGCGAGATGGAGAGGTGGATACTGCATCAGAGGCCAGTAGTTGACGTTGGTCTCAACTGTATGTTCGATGCAGTCGTTACAGATGTAGGCAAATTCGAGCCTGTTCAATCCTGGAGAAAGCATGACCATGGCCTTGAAATGACCGCCTGCTAGAGGCCATGTCTGCTCTGGGAAGTTTTCGGATTTATTTGCTGCTTTGGTAGTTACGTGGATGTAACTTCCTTTAGCGGCTTCGAACTCATATGTTCCAGTGACAAGAAGGCAGCGCTATGGAACACGTTAGTAAGTTCATTTGATACATTGACAGAGGTCGTACTTGATGAATCGTCTCTCCATCCTCAAGATTGGTGATTTTAAGAGGAGTTGTGATTGGTGCCATGATGATGATGATGATGGGTGGAGGTTATGTGACGGGGTGATCAAGTCAATTGAGTGGAAATATCAAAGAGATGCTGAAAAGGCTGGTTGATGGATTGTGGAGGAAATGAATGCTTTGGTAACTTGAAGTCTTGCGTTGTCCTTCTTATAACTCTACAGACGCTCTGGAGGAGTTGATACCCCTTGCGCCAGGATTCAGGCAACTGTCCAGATTGAGACTAGTTCCAACGATGCTGCCTGGTGTGCATCCGCTTGCGAACTTGCACCAGTCGCCATCCGGTCCGCGATCAATCCGTAACGGTTCGCAATATCATCCATCTCTTCTGATTCGACTTGCTGCCTACAATGCTGCAAGGGACATGATGGTGCTGAATATGTGCTTGGAATGAAGCTGGTATCCCCGGGCTGCGTCCGCGCTAGATGAGTGGTATGCGTGCACTCTGTTTCGAAATTGACGTCCAGAAGGCTAATACAGGATATGGGGTTCATTGAAATGAAGAGTTTCATGGGAGTGAAGTGACATCCATTGTTGATGACGAGTTAAGCTGTACGGCGTGGCTGGAGATGCTGAAATGGTAGGATAACGTGTTTACGTCCTAGAGTGTAGTCCGCACCATGTGTATTCGTATGTAGCCTGTCGGTAAACTTATACATGCATGTCTGAGGAGCGAATACGATATTCAAGCCTTGCGGCCTTGTCGGAGTCGGCGCGATTGTTGCAGCGATCCAGACGTGTGGCGCCAGATCAATCAGGGTCTTCGCCTATCTTGAAAATGTGGACCGTGCGCCGATCATCAGAATCTAGGCACAACAACGTTTTCGCCATCCCACATTCTCTCGTCTTATGTCAAACCGCCATCATCCAGCGTACCCACACCAGACCTAGTCCCAAGTTTATTCACAATGGCTTCCCTCCTATCATCCAACTTCAGCATGAGCATATATGACATACGCAATTGACCTCAGCCCGTGTTATCACTTGTGTACATACGTTTCGCCCTCGATAAGACGTTGGAGGAGCACTACTGTTTATACCATCATACTTGGTCGCCCGCCCGCCTAGCATCTCCTGAAGAGAGAACCGAACTACTCACCTGCCATTACGCTTTGTTGTGCTGCTAATCACGTCGACACCGCTACCATGGACACTACCGAAAGCGACTCTTCTGTCCCCGTAGCCGGTGACTCAGTCTTTAGTATTTCACGACCGTCATCCGCCTCTTCGATCCGCCCTGCCGACACGCCGAAAGACCTCCCCGCGGGCGCCCCCGTATCTCACCTATTCCAGGTTCGACACACACCAACCGCCGGCCGCGCCGTTTTCGCTACCCAAGACATCCCCGAAGGCACCCTTGTATGGCAGTCAACGGATCTTACGCTTTCCGTGTTGCTACGCGAGTATAGACGTGAGGTGTGCGGGCAATGTTTTGGCTACGATTATGGACGAGATCTGAGCATACGAGACAAGACAGTGGGGTTTGCTTTCTGCTCGGAAACGTGTCAGAAAACGTGGCAGGAGGAGCAGGGGGAGATTGGCATCCAGACTTGGACTGCTGTTGAGAATCTGATCCGAAAGAGGAGCAAAGAAGACAGCGACATGGTGGACGTTGACATGCCGCGGCCAAAGAAAAAAGACATTAGCAAAGCTTGGGATAGTGTGGCTGCGCAGGCGGAATTGATAAGGAGTGCAAGGGAGGCGGAGCAAGCGGATGGTGTGGACGGCCAAGCTGCAGTGCTCATGTCAAAACAGCATAAAAAGGCTGTTTCCAAGGCACTGCAGGGACGCATTACCCCCGACGTGATGAGCTTCTGTGTCAGTGGCATCTTGTGGCGCCACCATCATCCTGAGCAGTGGGAACGATTAGAGGCGCTCGCAAACGACAACACGCCGTACCACAGTTGTGACGATCTGGATGCTTTCACACGGGCCTACCTGCACTTGCTTGCGATTCTGCCCGTGGCGCTCCTCCCACTGGTGACGGCGGAAACGCTTCTCACGCTGTCGAAGCGCGACTCGCACAATTCGTTTGGCATTCGCTCGCTCGAGGACGAAGGCTCAGAGTTCTTCGGCTATGGGTGCTGGCCGGCTGCAAGCTACTTCAACCACTCGTGCGGACCGAACATTGAGAAGAACCGTGAGGGCAGGATATGGTATTTCAGGGCGGGAAGAGACATTGAAAAGGGCCAGGAGCTGTGCATTACTTATTTGAGTGGAGAGGAGAGGAAGTTGAGTCGCGGGCAGAGGATGCTAAGGCTGAAGAAGACGTGGGGGTTTGATTGTGGATGCGAGAGGTGCGAGGCGTTGTAGAATGGAGGACCCTGGTAACTATGCAGTAGCGATTGGTAAGGCATATCGTTTGCATCAGTAGTTGGGATGGGCATGTTGCCAAGAGCGACATGGGCTGAGGCTGTGGTGGTTGTGGTGCGGCCATTGGCTGGCGAGGAAGGGCCGGCATCACAGGCAATGGGCGGGTAGCTGTCAGGTGGAGAGCAGAGCAGAGCAGATAGTAGCCGTAGTGTATTATTGATGATTACAGGCCCCGTGCGCGAAGGAGCTTGCTGGAGACGCCTCGCCGACTAATGGGACAGCGGAAGCCGGATTAGGCATCGGGCCGAAAGTATATGCGCGTGAGGAACAGCCCAAGGGCACATCTGCATCATCCGGGCCGACACATGGGCTGCACATGGCAGACATGCACATGCTTGTTGATACTTGGAGGCCCGTCTGTGGTGCGAGGTACGCCACAGGCGTCAAAGGATGTTCGTGTGCAGAGGCGAGCAGCGAGGAGGATGCGAAGGTGGTGATTGACGTCTTCTGAGGCGGTTCCCACTAGACAGTGACGTAAGAGATCCGCCGCACTAAATGGACCCTGCAGACGGACTAGGACCGTTGGGTTGCGAGCTGCGAGCGAGTCCAAAGGAATTCATCGGGGGCGTCGAGCAGAGACGGCGGGAGATTGCGTCTGCGTCTGCGTCCAGCGTCCCCAGCAGACGGACAGGCAGCGGGCAAGGGCAGGGGGGCGGGTTTTTTTCCATTCTGCATGGGCTCTGCCTTGGTTGTATATGCATGTGGCCGTTGGGACCCATTGGCAGCGTCGAATTGGCATGCTAAGAGACCGTCTTCTGTTCCAAGGCCACAGGTGAGGGCTGCATGCAGTGTGGCGTAGCCCGCCCCGTGCCTAGCGAGCTTTGTGAGCCTCTAGTCGACGGATCCGCTCAACCTCGCGGCATGCCATGGAGCTGAGAGAGGCCTGCCGGCCATTCCGCAGTGCGCCGCTATGGCGAGAGTTGCATTCGCGCGGAGGGTAGCGTGTGTGTGTGTGGTGAAGAAGAAATATCAAGTCGTTGCCCACATGCTACTCCTACGTAGAGCTTATTACTTACATGCTCCTCTTATTCCACCCCATTTGCCTGCCCGTGAGCAGCCAAACTGCAGTCTGACGAAACCAGATAACCCCGCGCAAACCACTACCACTATCATCACTGCTGCCTGCCACTGTCCATCACCGTCATCTGCTACACCCTACTAGCCCTACACCCACCCTAGACCACTGTACAGCACAGCACTCTACTCTACAGTAGTACCGGCCGCACCCCCAAGGCCACATCGCACCAAGCACACCCCGTTCTGTCCACGTCCGGCGGCAAACCCTTGCTCGCTCTGGGCTAGCCACAGCAGCAGCACCACCACCACCACCACCACCACCACCATCACTATACCCTGCGACGTTCTCGACGCGGCACGCCAAAATATCCAGACGAGCGTCATATCTCCACCCTGACCACTACTACTACTACTGCTGCTGCTACTACCAAACGCGGCGTCACTGTACCGTACCCATACAGTATTGGGCTTTGGCGGACAACAGCCACGCCCGCATCGAGATCCAGCACTGCCCTTCCCCGCGAAGCACATGCAGTTCCAATCATCGCCTAGCTCTCCACGGAGCGGGCGCAAGAAGATGAGCTTGCCAGTAATCGAGGTGAGACGACTTGCTTTTTTACTCCCTGTTTTCTTCTCTTGCTGTTCGTCCGCCCATCTTGCATCCATCCTGTCTCCATGTTGTTTCCTCTCCGACTGCCGCAGTGGCACACATACACACACACACACACACCCACGCACCAGTCAGGGGCGCGACGGGCACAATAACGCCCCATGGCCGCCTCAGGGCTGGCGCGCGTGGTTGCAGCTTGTTTGGCGATGATGTAGCCCGCATCGTCATCTGGCGCACGGACGCGTTATGACGCATGTCGCTCCTGCTCTCCTGCTCAGGCCTCACCTCACGCCTTCCCTCGCTCGTGCACGCCTTTCTCTTCAACCACCACCACCTTTCCCATTGTCTTTTTTTCCCATTTTCTCCGCCACCAGCCCACTGCCGTGACACTACTGTCCCGCTGCATTCTTCCCTTTCTCCTTCTTTTGTTACTACTGCTGCTGCTGTTGCTGTTGCTGCTGCTACACCCGGCTATACTCGGTCGTATCAAGCCCATCTCTGCCTATATCCGTCTCCCAGCCCAAGCGACCCCGCCATCCTCAGCGGCGTTGTAATTTACTCCTGTCCACGCACACGCACACTAAACATGGCCGCCATACAGAATTTTAAGAACTTCCTGCGCCATGGCAAACAGGCCCGCCACAACGCTGAGCCCACGACAAATGTATCCAATGTCCATGCCCAGTCGCAACACCAACGCTACCAGGCTCCCGAGCCCGCACATCATGGCATCTCGGAGCCCGTAATGGACAACAAGCCCCTCCAAAACAACCCTGCTCCCCATGGCGACTACTCGGTCGGCGCTGGCGCTGGCGACAACCGTCACATTGCCGCCCAAGCAGGCGACGCCGCTGCTCGTGCTGTTGCCGATAACCAGAAGAAGCAGGCTGCCGCAAAGGGCGCTGGCGTTGACCCGTCTGTACTCGAGCGCATCGTTGCAGAGGAGCGCGAGGCAAAGGGCAAGCTGCCCAGATATCCAGGCCTCGAGCGCTGGACGCTGCTCGAGAAGATGGGTGATGGTGCCTTCAGTAACGTCTACCGCGCACGAGACAACACTGGCCAATGGGACGAAGTCGCCATCAAGGTCGTTCGTAAGTTCGAGATGAACTCACAGCAGGTCAGTACTACCCAAATCCTTTGCCCAGACCCTCTGCCCTCCTGCCCATTTTCACAATGTCGTCATCCCTCTCCCTTACCCGATCCCGCACCGAGAAGAAGTTGGGTGTTTTTTGGACGTTACCAACGCGAGGCCGGTGTAGGACAAGCATATACATCCGGACTTCAAAGCGCCAAAAGCAGCCGAGGTGCGATAGATTTACTTCCCTGATGCTCGACTCCCTAGCATCCTCGTTTCCCATCACGCATGGACTTTTGTGGGCAGATACTAACTGCCCTATAGAGAGCAAACATCTTAAAGGAAGTACAAATCATGCGCCAGCTCGACCACCCCAACGTTGTCAAGCTCATTGACTTTTCCGAATCACGGCAATACTACTATATTGTCCTCGAGTTGTGCCCCGGCGGTGAACTGTTTCACCAAATCGTTCGCCTTACCTACTTTTCAGAGGACCTCTCTCGCCACACCATCATCCAAGTCGCCAAAGCTCTGCAATATCTGCACGAAGAGGCAGGTGTTGTGCATCGGTTCGTATCCTGCCGTTACGTCAATGAGATCAACCACTGACGTCATAACCAGAGACATCAAACCTGAAAACCTTCTCTTCTACCCAATTCCATTTGTCCCCACCAAAAACCCCAAGCCAAGAGGACCTGATGATGAGGACAAGGCTGATGAGGGCGAGTTTGTCAAGGGTAAGGGTGCTGGCGGCATCGGTCTGATCAAGGTTGCCGATTTTGGTCTTAGCAAGGTCATCTGGGATACCCAGACAATGACACCTTGCGGTACTGTTGGTTACACCGCCCCTGAGATTGTCAAGGACGAGCGCTACTCCAAGAGTGTCGATATGTGGGCACTGGGTTGCGTACTCTACACTCTCCTTTGCGGTTTCCCACCCTTCTACGATGAGTCCATCCAGACTCTTACCGAGAAGGTCGCGCGTGGCCAATACACTTTCCTCTCTCCATGGTGGGACGACATCTCCAAGTCTGCCCAAGACCTGGTGTCCCACCTACTGACAGTAGACCCTGAGAAGCGTTATGACATTAACCAGTTCCTCAACCACCCATGGATACGCGAGGCTGACGAGCCTACTTACTCTGCTTACGACGCACCGCCTCTTGCAACACCTGCTGCCAAGAAGGAGCGTCTTCAGCCAGACTTTACCCACTTGGAGTCTCCAGGCGCGCGCCGCATGGACTTCCGTTCGCCTGGTGCCGTCAACCTTCGAGAAGTTTTTGATGTCAGTTATGCTGTACACCGTCAAGAAGAGGAGGGAAAGAGGAAGAAGCAGTTCAAGCAAGGATACCGTGGGGCAAACGCTATGAACTCTTTGAACGCACTTGACGAGAACGAAGACGATGATGAGTACACTGCCGAGTCCGTACCATACGATGCCTCGTCGCAACATCCACCAGCGAAGCTTCCCAAGTCGCAGGGTGCCGACGTGTCTGGTATGGAGCAGAAGATGCGCAACACCACACTATCCGCCGCAGCCCAAGCACGTCAACAACAAGCCGCACCACAACAACGGGGCTATGGCCAACATTCTGCCGCTGTCGCAGCCGCGGCTAAGCGCCAGGTCAAGAACAAGGGTGCCTTTGAGCTCAACATGGACACATCGAGTATTCTGGGCCGCCGAGCCAAGAAGGGGCCTGCGCCCAGCGGTCTAAGAAACAACATCGCTGTTGGTGGAACATGACAATCACCGTCGCTCACAAAGGATTGGTGAAGAGCTGGCATGCTTTTTGACGATGGGTATTGGGATGAGATGTCATGATGGCGTAGAGAGAGAGAGGGAGTGTGTGTGTGGGTTTTTTTTTCCTGTCTTTCACTGCTCAATTTCCTTTCTTGGCGTGTGTTTCTTCTCTTTTTTTTTCACCGATTTTAGTTGGGTCATATCCATGTAGTGGAACGTCCTGTTCCTCCTCTGATAGCATTAGTCTGTAGTAGTCACTGACTGTCCTTTTCGATGTGCAAAAAAAGAAAAGAAAAAGAAAGGACCATTTAACGCGCCTTTGTGCGCTTTCCTTGTTCTTCTGGACATGAGAGTGGGGGGGAGGGGGGGAGGGGGGAAGTAAGTGAGTGCGGAGGATAAACGTTTTATCTGTTTGTGTGTGCGTGGATGTGTGGATACAAGCAAAGGCAGCATGGCCACGATCAATATTCGCCAAAACCAAATGTCTGTGTCTGAGTGTGTGAACTTGAGACAATTATCAATCAATGGAAATATCATCGGTGGGGAAGAGAAGAAAAAAAGACGAGACATGGAAAACATGACAAGTGTGAAGTACTGATTGCTTCACTGCCGTACCTTTTTTACTGGACAAAAAAAAAGGGTTTGTATTGCATGCTAAGTCTGTTGATTGATCCTGAATGGGGAAGAGGGAAAAACAAAAGAGAATAATTTGCTCAAAAAGGGAAATTAAGTGGGAGTCGCGAACCAACAAGGGGTGACCATGCAAAGAAGAAGAAGAACTTCTTGGTGGAGGAAAGCCCAGCAAAATGTCTAGACACTGTTTCTCCTTCTTACCCATCCCCATCATACAAATGCACATGTGTAAGAATGAAAACAAAACAAACTTCTCACTTTACAGACGTTATAACTTTCTGTCTATCGCTTGGGTACAATTCCCGCAGCTGCATTCATCAGGCTGAGTCCCGTCCCTGACGCAACGGGCGTCATGGTACCTGGTGTGGGTGCTCGTGAGGGAACGTTACTCCTGTTGTGTGCCATGTGTGCCTTGACCAAGTGGCCGGCGCAGAGCGCACTGTTGAGCGACAGTTCGCCCGCAAGCACACCAGCGGCAATGACGCGAGCGAGCTGGCGGGCATTGTCACCGGGAGAAGTGGGGTGGGCGCCTCGTACACCGAGCAAGTCAAGCATGGCGGATTGGGGCTCGAGGATAGTTCCGCCACCAATGGTGCCGACTTCTATCGAAGGCATGGAAACCGAGATCTGGAGGTTGCCGTTGACACTGGGAGAAAAATATTAGTAAACTGATTTACTCAGCAATCAAGAAAAAACAAACTTACTTGTTCATAATGGTGATGCAGTTGGCACTTTCAACAACCTGGGCAGGATCTTGACCGGTAGCCAAGAAGACGGCAGCAACGATGTTGGCAGCGTGGGCGTTGAATCCACCCATAGCACCAGCCATGGCTGAACCGATAAAGTTCTTGGAAATGTTCATCTGGACAAGATCGTCGACTTCACACTTGAGGACGGAGCGGACAACAGCGCCGGGAATCATGGCTTCGGCAACAACACCCTTGCCACGACCGTCGATCCAGTTAATGGCAGCAGACTTCTTGTCGGTACAGTAGTTACCAGAAACAGCAACCACACGCATATCCTCAAAGCCGCAGTCATTGGCCATGACGTTCAGAGCATGCTCGACACCCTTGGAAATCATGTTCATGCCCATGGCATCGCCAGTCGTAGCCCTGAAGCGAACGTAGATGTTGGTTCCGGCAATGGCAGATTTCATCGATTGCAGCCTGGCGAAGCGAGAAGTAGAGTTGAAAGCGTCCTTCATGGTCCTCTGGCCTTCTTCCGAGTCAAGCCAGATCTTGGCAGCACCTGCGCGTGCGAGGCTGTCGAATCCAATACAAGGTCCACGAGTCATGCCATCGCCAGTAATAACAGTAACGGCACCGCCACCAGCATTGATAGCCTTTGCACCACGCGAAGTTGAAGCGACAAGGACACCTTCAGTAGTTGCCATAGGGAGGAAGTAGTTTTGACCATCGATGAGCATGGGACCGGCAACACCAAGGGGAAGAGGAAGATAACCAACAACGTTTTCACAGCATGCGCCGTGGACAAGATCGTAGTTGTAGTCCTTGTATGGCAGAAGCGAGCGTTCCAGCAGAGTTGATGTTTCTCGTGTAGCGTGTGTTCGGGAAACGAGACCACGGCGAATTTTGACAGCGCGA